GACAATGACGACGATTAGGATGATGATGATGATGACGATGAAAACTAATTCTGCTTATCTTACGGTCGCTTGCGAAAGCAAGGAAGTTCTCTCGAACATCAGCGACTGACCTTGGAAGAGAACATATAAATGAATTGAAAAAAAAAAAAAAAAATCAAAACCTAGTTTCAGATGGTCGATAGTGACGACGGTCAGTATAGTTATGGTCGGTTTTTCACACACAATTCGATTAAATCATCGTCCGAAGACTCACAGTGTTCTATCGTTCACGGGGGAAATTAATGGATACATAAAAACCTATAACCTTCAGGTGACGAAATAATAATATGCAGACTTTCTGTGATAAAAAATATACGCGACACAGTGCGGCAACTTTGTCGTCGCGCAGAATTGTAAAATCCGGAGGCGCGAGAACAATGTTGTATCATTTGATTAATTGCCGTGCAAAACGTGGTAGGGGAATTCCCTAGTGAGACGAACACGTCGAAAATGTAGAATAAAATTTATTGGGAAGCGAGAACTACGCGCGCGAGACGAATATATAATATATGAGGTAAAAATAATCAATTTGCGCGCGCGCAAATTTTTATTCTGTTCATGCGAGAATCAGCCTCGGCCTCTGAAGGTCGTTCTTCTAAATAAAACGTTCGGATAAAATAAAGTACGGGCGATTGAAGCTACCGAGATATTAATTATTGCACGCCTCCTACGCGAAACGAAGATAAACTATTTCGTCCGCGATTTGTAACAATAAAAACAAAACAAAAAATGCCGAGGATCTGAGCTCGCGGGATTTCACGCCGTGAGATCAGTGCTTTAATCGTCGTTTCGACAGTCGGGAATTGGAGAAGAAAACAGCGAACTGGAATAACACATACCTATATCGCGGAATGACGAAGGTGACAATTAGTTAAAATTTTTTTTCACCGAAAAAAGGTCGCATGAAAAAAGCACGAAGAAAGCACGAGAGGATGAGAAATAGAAAACTGGCAATTATTTTTATTTTTTTTATAGTTGAAGACGCGTGTCAAGCAAACACAAAAATAGAATATATTACTCGGTTAATAATGACAAATTAACGGACGAGAAAAGAGGCGTCTCGTTTTTCCTTATTTTTTGCTGAGTTTTTCTCGAAACAAATCGTTCCACGAGGTCTTTGACCTTTCAACAGCTATGTGTACGCGAGCTGCGAAGAAATACCGATGTACATTTTTGAACAACAACGTACCTATGATTTATGTGTACAGACAATGTGATTTATCTATATATATAGACAACAATACGTTTATCACGGAGTCATATAATGTGTGTGCGTGTGTGTGAAATATATGGGATCTCCACGCGGCGTTTTGTTCTCGACGACTCGAGAAATGCCATGCATTTAATCAGGAAATCCCGTATCTTCGAACGTTTGTTCCGTCACGGAGAGGATTCTGAACCAGTACTGGCCACACACACGCGCGCGCGCACAAACGCACACATTAGTTGAATTATAATGAACGACGCGTGCTAGATGAAACCGACGTCGAGAGGCAGCGCAATTGTGAAGTTAAGGTTGTATTCAGGGTAAGATCTCAGTCAAAAGTTAAAGAAACATAGCGTAAACCGAAGCTATTTTAATATTTAGATAATAATTGTTTGCTGGAAAAGTATTATTTGCATTAAAATAAGTTTAAAAAACTATTTATTATACTTTTAATAGACTACGAAAAAGTTTTTACGTATATTTTGTGTGTGTGTGTGTGTGTGCCATTTTAATGTTCACTTTTGATACTTTTGAGTAGGATTATACTCTACTTGCAACATAAGATAAATGAAAAACTGGAAATGTATTAATCATAAAAGTTCGTTAAAACGTAACAATTGATGTATACAATTACAAATATAATTGTTTTATGTATGTTAAATATATATTTTTATTAATTTTAGCAAAATATAAATTTATATTTTATGTGATATTCTCGAAATAATTATTTTTTCGAGTAGAATTTGTTTTTAAGATATTTATTAACAACTGCAAAAAATTTCAAAATTACGACAAATCTACACTACATTTATTTTGTAATTTATATCAGAATATCGTGAAATCCCATAAGAACTCGTGTTAAATTAAAATCGTACCAACTTTTTAACAAGACTCGCAAAGGAGCTGAAATTTTACACAATGTTTTTTTTTTTTATATCATCTACTGACTGGCAAAATTTGAATAATTTGGCATATCTTTTATCTTACCCTGAATACAACCTTAAATCCACAGGAAGATTTATTCTTTCGATACTTGATGTAATTCTCCTTTTCGGCACGGATCGGCACAGTCGTGCAAGTAAACAAATAACAAATATATCACACGTATTTATAACTCGAGCCGATAATAAGTTTTCAATTTTTTGTTTCGCAAAACCGAGATGCGTCGGATTTATTTCGCCGAACCGAGAGTCAAAAAATCGATTCTTCTCCTTTTTTTTTTTTTTTTTTAAATCTCATAAATTCTTCTCTCGTCTCATCACCCGAAAAAACCCGCGCGCATTCACGCAGTCGTAAAAAAAAAAATGGACGAACGCAAAATGATATCGCGCACTTCAATCGCAAGTGCCTGAACTTATAAAAAAAAAAACGATTTTTGAGGAAAAGATGGAAAAAGAGAGATAAATGTGAATTGTGGTTCACAAATCGCGATTGTACGAGCGTCGTCGTAGTCGACTCTCGAGAGAAAATAGAACGCGTTTGAGAATAATTGTCGACGGTGTGACTCAGATGCGAGAGAGAAACTTTTTACACACATCATAGTAATAAAGTGACGCCTCCGTGTCATCTCTCTCAAGACACACATCCTCGACACACATCCTCGCTAACGTTCCTATTTACGCTCGCGTTTGTAACACACACGTGCTTGTGTCTCGGGCACACGGCAAGGCCGAGAGCAAGGTCGGTGTGTGCAAACAACATTTCGCGCTGCGATTTGTTCGCGGATACGTATACTATATATCGCGCAAGATCTAAATCCCGCGGATCGAGCTTTTCTTCACCTCTGAAACGAGAAGTTTCGCTTCTGCGAGCACTAGCGGTCCAAAACAAAAAACGACAATCCACCTGGACGGAAACTCTTGAAGCGCTAAACTCGACTGTTTCTATTTGAAAAAAAAAAGAAAAAATCGACGGTTCTAATTAAAAACAAAGAAAAGGACGAGCGTGTTTACTTCCAGTTACAAACTTTCTATTTTCTACGATCAATGTCACTCGAAGAATTTAACGAAGATATACGAATCTTGTTTCAGCGCCACGGTGCAAAAACATTTTCTTGTGTAAAACACTACTGAAACAAAGTTTCTCTTGCACTTTCGTTGTTCTCAGACAGCGTTAGTTGCTGCGGTAGAAAACGTATCTCGGCAAGTAAGAACTTCGATTTTTTGTTTGCAATTTCTGTAAACCACGTGCTGATTTGTCAGCATCTGATTTACACGGTTCGAATAAGCGGATTTTAACGATGTCTTTTCGTAACAAAATGTGATGATGCTCGACGTTAATGTCGGAAAAAAATTCAAAATTGATTGACAAAAAATCGGTGTTATAATTCAAGCGTGATTTAAAACTGGTCCAACAGGCGCCGAATAAACATGCATTTTATATTCGTCAAGTGTTATATTGCCCGTTGACGTCAACGCGAATATTGAGAATCCGTAAAAATGTTAAAATGTTAACTCGGCGCCAAGTAGTCGGTCGATATTTCATCTTGTACACAGAAGAGAATCGCGATTAGGTATTCGCAAATTTTATATTTCGCCGAAAAGAATTTCTTAATCTTCATTAATTAGTCCATCTAATCGGCTGCCAAAAGAATAATCTCAAACGTTAGTCACGTACGAATAATAATACGGGATTTAATATCCGATTTGATCGACTCAATCAAGAAAACATTTTCTAAATTGTCTTTGTAAAAAAACAAAAAAAAGAGAAAAACAAGGACTTTTTTTGCTTTTCTTTACGGAATAAGATTTTATTTCTTCGCCTTCTACGGGAGAGAAAATGCGCTCGCTCTATTATAAAAGTATTTAGATATGTAAACGTTCCTTTCCCGAGAAAGAAAACAATTTAATATAATTTACATTCACCTTCCCGTACGTATATATTTATCTCTTGAAATGCAAAATTATACTCACCGCGCGTGCGAGGATGTCCTTCATTTACATCACAAATCGAGTACTCAACGAGGTAAAAGCGATACGGATTCTCTTTCGAATATTTTCTACAACTCGAACGTACAAAACTTTTACGGACAATGTGTCTTTACGGGTGATCTTTTCTACGAGCGCGAGTTTGTCGCGCATTATTCACACGAGAAATTTCAAACTTTTGTAATATGTTACTAATAATAAATTCGCGCGGAGATAAACAGAAATGAAATATCGTAATTAATAACAGACGGAGCAGGCGCCAGTCGTCCTCTTTCTTTCTATATTAAAATCGCTCATCCGTGTGTGTTTTGTCGCGCTCGTGAAACTAAACGCAAATTGAAAAATGCCGTCTGAAAATTTCGCATTACACGCCCAACTTTATATAATCGAGAAATCAATCATCGCCAAGTTTTGTTGCGCATGGGGACATGGCGCAATTTCTCTCGTCTGAGTATCAAAACAATTCAAAACACATTTCGTGTTTGACAAAATATGAGTTGGAAATAAACGGATGCGTTGTTTACGTTGTAAATATAAAAATATATTTTGCGCTTGTAAAACGGTTTACATCAATTCTTCTAAAATATCTCGTACTTAAACGTCGTCTCAAATGTCGCATGAATAAATCGGACCGAATAACGTGCGCATTAAACACCTCACAAGTAACAAACTCTTATTACAATATACTTGACGGAAGTTGTAACATGTTCTCATTATGCGCACCAGTGAACTTTTTTTGTACGCTACTGTTGAACGCTCACTCCAATGGATGGAAAATTACGTGAGAAAGAGAGCGACCAGAGAGACAGAAAAGAACAAAACAGAAAAAAGTACCATTCCCGTCTTTATTCAATTGTTAACATGCTAATCGCGCGTGATACATATGTGCGATGCGCTGATTTTCATTAGCTCGGCGTCGCAAATGTGCGACAGAGCTCAGTTTGCCTTACTTAGTAATACATCTTATGTGTGCATATGTGAAAGATGCAACATGTTAATGTAAAACTACCAAGACCAAAGCATGAGCCGTAACGGAGGTTTTCTAGTCACACAGTAGCAACTAACGTTACCCGCGCCAAAAGAAACAAAAGTAACTTTATAGCTATGTCGAGAAATGAAGAAACACAAGAGATCGTTGATTCAATCAACATTCGCTAGAAAAAGAAAGAAATGGCAGATATTGAGCAATCTATTCTTTTTTTCAATTATGGTCGGATACGAAGTTTGAAGTGAGCACTTCGGATAACTATACGGTGTATAAAGTTCACTGCTGCACATCAATTTTCAATAGAGAGAAGACTGCTTTATGACACATAATACAGTAGTTCCTCGCTAACGTTTCCAATTTTTCTGTCGGTATTGTTCAATTTATGTAATTTTACTCACACTCAATGATTCTCACTTTTGCCTAACGCGGTCGAGACAATCAGAGATAAAAGTTGACAAATTTTCGGAACAATATCTTCCTCGTTCGATATCGCGGAACCGAGGATGGAAACGTTAGCGAGGAACTACTGTATTTATTTTTAGACCGTGCAATAGAAACATATTTGTTATATTGCCAATCATGTATAACGTATTTAACAATATTTATAATTGTTAATGCAGTCTTCCTGTATGTTTAGTGTCTCCCGTATGCATGATGAGATTGATGAGCTGCAAAATACACACATTAATGTTTTCCAAGTTATTAAAATAAATTTTCTAACAACAGAGAGTGTCAGGTCTCTCTTACCCTTATAAAACTCTCCAAGAAATTTCACATTAGGCACCAGAGAATAAACCTTCTGCAAAACCGTAGCTCTCGGTCCCAGCAAAGCATTTATGTTCCAAATCTATAATAATAATAAAAATTATTTTAACGTTTCTGAGTAATAAATTTTTTTGAACATCACAGTTTGTCTCTTTATTTGAAACACGCGTACCTGAATGAGGTCCTCTCTATCGCGTATAGATACAGTCACACCACAAACTTCATCATCTTTATCCACGTGTGCGGTGAACTGTTCTCCGATAGCTGCAAGCACCACTTCTTTCCAGACACGTTCCTGAAACAAAAACAAATAATAAACAGAGCATAAATCTATAATTTATATAAAGTATATATATTACAAGTAAGATATACATATCACTTGGTATATGCGAAATGAATAAGTGGTCAATATAAATTATAAAGTACCTACAGTATCAGACTTATGGCACTTCAATCTCCAAGTTCCACCCTTTTGATTCAGTTTGTCTTCCCACAAAGGATATCTCTCGTCTCTCATTAAATGGTAACTGTATTTCACCTGATGATACAAATCAATTATATCATTTAAAATTTTCTTACAAATGGATCTGTCAAACGAGAGATAAATTATCATACCTGCATGTCACCCGCATTTGGTATGTTATTAAAAACAGCCCAGAAGTTTTGTACAGTATTTACAGTATAGATCTTCTGGAGATTGGCCTTGTATTCTTCTGCAGTTGTTCCAGGGATGGCTCTGTATAAGTCAATAAAGTATATCTTAGAGAGTTGCAAATTTGCACAGAAATATAAAGAAATTAATTACATCAAAAAATTTTGAGTAAAGTTGGCTGAAACAAACATAGAAAAAAAAAACAACAGACAATGGGGTGTGTAACAAAAATATTATTATATCTAATCTGTTATATCTATACAATTATATTTTTCTTCTAATCTGTTATATCTATACTTATATTTTTCTTCTAATCTGTTATATCTATATAATTATATTTTTCTTCTAATCTATATGTCATTTTTATCTTTAAAAAGATTACTCAACAACATACTTTTGATAACATACTTAAAACTATATACATTTATTCTTTCTAGTTTGTGTTGCACAGGAGGAAAAATAATAATATCCCAAGGAACACACAAATATCTACAACCAATATACGTGTAAAAGAATAACAATTATCACAAGAACACTCGATGTGTTCGAAACATACACGAAAACCTAAATGCAAAAATATAATATTTATAATTATAAATTGTTTCTTATGTCTTTTCTTATGCCTTTTTCTTTTTGCGTCTTTGCTTCTCCGTTCTAAACATTGAAAAAAAAAAAAAAAACAGGCGACTTTACATTAACGTATTTTCTGACAAAAACTTTTATCGCGAGTGTATGACGCGCGCGGAGTATTTTGTAAACGTGACGTTTAAAAACACGCACTGGCTGAAGATAAGATTGGGACAATGCATCGGTCGGGATGCGTTTATTTATGCGCTCGCCGATTAAGTGTGGTACGTAACAACAGCCGAACGCGATAATCCGCGCGAGGAAAAAATCTTTTCGTTTCTCTCTTACTTGTCTAACCAGAAGGTCCACGGCGTCTGCAACGGGATGCCGTCTTCGAACTCCTCGTTCCTTTCGGTCGTCTTGGAATCATCGTCGGACAGTACCGGTGTTTTCAACAGGTCCGCCGAGGTGCCGTCTTTCCCTTCGCATTCCGTCGCGGCCATGTTCGAAACGACGATGCAGCCACCGCTGTAACGTCAAAAATCATGTGATCGCCCGCCACCACCACCACCACCGTTGTCGTTGTCGTTGCTGCTGGCGCCGCCGCTGCCGCGATTTACCGAGGAGAAGAATTCGGCAAAAACCGCAGATGTTTACGACGAATTATGACGTGATCGCAACCGAAAAAGAAGTTGCCTATATTGCGGATCACGGCGAGGAGAACGCGCGCAATGTGTTCTTCTCCAAAAAGAATGTTTGACGATTATAAGCTATGCCGGAACAGAGCCGGAATTTGTGTCGTAACCGACCGTTTACGATTTACAAAGGACATCTGTGTGTCGCAATGTTTGTTTCACATGAATATACTTTGTGTATATTTTCATAAATGGTCGTTACAGTCGGCAAACTTTAAAAAGTTTTTGTTCATATTATTTTCAATATATATTAGGTTAAAAGAAGATATTACATATTTATACACATCGCGTTTCGAATAAAAAAAAGAACATTTATTTGTTATTTTGCGCAAAATACTATTGACGGTAAAGACTTCGTTCAAAAGGTAAAAACCGAGCTTGTTTTGCGGAATAACCGACAGATGTCACGTGATGTATTTTCTTTTCCGGTTTTCAGCGCGATTTTTGAAAAAACTATATCTGGAAATCTTTGTGTTATTAAAATAAAAACTGCGACTTAATTAATACGAGTGATATTAATTATTTTTTTAATTACAGGGTAACACCAAACCTATCTAGTTAGCATCCCTCTAATGATTGGCGCTTTATTATGATTTTTTTTAATTGTTAGCATTCTTGTCCGTTACTTTCTATTTGACATTGCAGTAGGATTAATTTGTAGTTTTTATAACAACACTGTGGTGTTTAGAATCTTTTAGTTGATACTCTTGAAAAAACAAAAAATTTGACAGGTTTTTAGAACGTGTGCCAATTATTGGATTCAAAGTGCCAGTCGCTAGGTAATTTTATTTTTTTATACTCTACAATAGAGAGAGATACATATTTCTCTGTATGATCTACCTGCACATCCACTATTTGTGTCACCGTTTGAATGATTTTTTGCGGTTTAATCAAGTTTCACGCTTTGAAAATATTTTCAGACGAAATTTTTGCAAGTGCAATAAAATAAAATTCCGAACACTGAAAAAAATGATGATTTTGCAGATATACGCGCGTTCGAATGCACATGTGAAACTACCGCAGACGCGCCGTCGTTGTGCATCGCATGATCAAACAGCAGAGGCTCCAGCGTACATCCAGTATATAGAACAACTACATTTATTCTGACACACACACACACACACATATATATATATGTCCGAAGAGATGTCTTCAGGCCTCGACGACACAATGATATTCGTAGTCCGGAGAAACGACAGTCAGTAAGCAACGAGACTCTTGCTTCTCGCATTCACTTTCGTCGTTCGTTCATCATTCGAAAATATATCCGAGAATGTCATCAACTGTGAGCGACCACAGTTTTTACTCGGTTCGTAGCTCTGTGAACCGTAACACGATTCGCATGACGTGCTCGACGCACGAACGCCCGCGTGCTAAATTTACCTCGGACGCCGCGATGCGCTTCTTCTCGCATTGTTGCAACAGTTTTCGATCACCGCGTGCTGTCCGTGCATACGTCGTGTGTCGTTGTTGCGTGCCAAGTTGTCACGGAGAAGTTTTTATCTTGCGTGTTACGTGAGCGTTAATCGTTTTTTTCGCAATCCGTCTCTTTTGAAACGGACTGTGCGCTTTTTAAATCGTTATCACCACGTGCGAAGGAAGAAGAAGAAGAAGAAGAAGAAAACTTCTCTACACAGACATAGTCTATTGCACGGCCGAATGAGTACCTACTAGTTGACAGTCTAACGGTAAGTTTGACAGAACAACGTCGTGTGTCGACGTATGCGAAACGACAGTGCTTCGAGAAATATAATTTAGAAAAAGTAGTTTGATTTTCACATTTTCGAAGCGAACGATATAATTTTGCTCGAAACACACGGAGTTTCAGAAACGGAAATTGGCGCACGATGGATTTTTCACGGCGAAGAGATGAAGCGTAATCGAGAAACACGAATGAAAAAATGTCACTGCACGAACGAAACCTTGTGTTTACTTAATTTAATCTATTTCGTAATACGAGAGATCGGCGACGAGTGTAACTTTGATCGCTAAAAAAAATTGGATCGATTAGTTTTACCTTCCGGTAGCGGCGAATTTTAATCAGACTTTTTATCTCGTTATCTCATTGTATCGTTTATACGACTTGTTGAGAATTAAATTTAATAAAAAAAAAGTTTTATCTCTCCGTTTGATAATACCGATTGGTGTGAGCAAAACAAAATCAATATGTATTGTATTTCACGGGTTTTCAAGAATTGTTCAGAAAGATAAAAAACTCGACACAAAGTTCGTGTAATATATATTTTTTTTTTTTTTTATCGGTGAACATACGCGCGGTTTTGTGTTACGACCGTGAAGGAATATCAGTTGACAATCTAACGATAATTTTGACGGAACTTTTATGCATTGGAGAAAATAAGTTGTGATTAGACCTAGGTAAAGTGTGCGGACTGCTGTAAATGGGACGCGCGCGATGTTTGGTCAAGTGTGTGCGAATTTGTTCCAGACGTAAATTTGTGCCGTTACGTCTTGCGATTTGCTCGTACGCACACGCCACACTTATTTTCCTGATGTTGTATATTGTGCAAAAATTGATTTTTAATATTCGCAAACACATATTGCTCGCTCACTGTTGTTGCATATATATTTTCGTGACGCGCAAACTCATCTCGCAATCAAAAGCGTACACGCTGTAATTTGCGCTCCACCTTTCAGTTCCGTCTAACACCTTCGGCGAAGGTCGTGCTCTTAGTGTCACGAGAGGAAAAAAACCGATCGAAAGAGTCTATTATCTAAGGAATATACTATATACCGAATACACTATACGTCATCCGCTAATTATCACTATTGTCGTAATATTCTGTAACGCGTAACGACCGGCATGATTGTGTATTGTGGAACATGGATATTCGGTTGTATCCAATTTGCAAAGGCCGACACGTAGCGTCGAGAAACGGAACAAATTAAAATTCTCTGATGTCTCTTACAATTATATTTGTGACAAATATAATAAAAGTATCTTCGAATTATATTTGGAAAAATTCCATTATTACGCAACGCGATTATTTCTAAATTGGGAAAGGAATCTCAGTGTGAAATAAAGGAGATCGATCCGGGGGTTTCTGTTTTAGGTTCCTAGTCAAATGTTTTTCTCGCAATAGAAATTTTAAGTTTCATGAAAGAATAAGTTGAGTAATTTTGGTTTCGACGTACATGCGCGGAAAAAAAAAAATGATGTTGAATCAACAGTATCAGTTTAATTGAAATACATCCCGTTGATGCGACATCAATATTATTGCACTATACGCAGCAGATAGTTGGTTTAAGAATCTAGACGTTAAATTAATCGCATATGCAATTGAATGAACTATTTATTTTTATTGGCAGCCCGTGACGTCAACTTTAATTGAAGTAAGTAAAGCAACTCCATTTTTTTTTTCTGTGCGTGATGCGCTCTATTTCCCATGTGAATTTTTGAATTAAAAATTTAAAATGACTTGAATTAAATTTAATCACGTTTAAAAGACAATAAGTATGTAATAGCACGTACATATCTGGCATATTGGTTCACAAATCGATTTTAATATTAATTATTTAGATGAGATTTCTATTTTTATATTTTTTTTACTCATCTCAACGCTTATCACGCTAATCAGACAGCCGTTTAACGCTAATTCTCGACTTCACAAGTAGAGTTGCAATAATACAGGAGCGATATATATATACGACACGAGCAGGATGTTTGGAAGGTTTATATGACGTAACGCGAGAACGTTTGTATATTTACAAAACTTCGCGGATAAACCGCGCGAGTGCGTCGAATCCGCGTTGCATTTATTTATATTCCTTTTTTTTTTTTTCGTTTTTGTGAAATCGCGGAGAAAACGATTCGCACACAATACATCTTTTCCCCGTATTTTTTTTTTTTTTTTCAGCGAGATGCCAGCCAATACCTATCAACGCGTGAACACTCAAGTGTCAAACTTCTGCTGGCGTCGAAAATGGGCTTTTCTGATCGCGCTGATCTTCTGTATCATTGTTATTATATTTTTCACGAGACACTCGATGGTTCACAAGCGGCAGAACACGACGGAACGCGACACGTATCTGGACGACGTGTCTGAAGATCTCTTAAAAACAGGTGACAATTTTTCTAAAGCTAGATTTTTTTTTTTTTTTTTTTTTACAAAAGATTCATGTTCAAAGATTAACGTTTAATATTTTTATCGCTTCGCAGTGTTGCAAACGTGGTACAACTTCTCCGGTGGTGAGTATGGGCAATAATTGTATTAGAACTCTTTTTTATTTTACGCGAACGACGTGTTAAACGGCTGACGAGACGCATGTGGGTTTCGTGTGGGTTTTATCGCTACTACGAGACTGACATTTTGCGCAACCAAGCGCGCCGTATACGTTAATATCCCCGAGAAAAGAATTTTTCAATTCGATTTATACTGGCGGCGCGCGACAGAAAAAAAAAATACTTTAAAAACGTGAAAAAGGTATATCAATAAACAAAAATGTGAAAAAAACGTATATTACTATTAAAAAAATATAAAATAAATTTCATAGATTTTGTATTAGGACAAGAATTTCGCAAATGAGAAAATCCGATATTTAAACGACGGTAAATTGTTGCGCGTCGCTCTCCAATGCGTTGTGTCAGCTTCACTCAACGGATTCGTAATTAAATACGATTGGAGAAACGCGATTCGCGCGTATATACGTTATTTGTATACATATCACTTGATAATTCAACATTTATACGGTTTCCTCACGTGGTTTCTCGCTATATTGCGCAAATAACGATCTTACGCGGTAAATATCCATAGCAACGCTAATCGCGAATTGCTAACGACGTAGTATTTGAACCACGAGATGATAAGCAAGTTAGATGTGTCGTAAAAATTTCTGCAAGTTACATAGATTAGAAGATCGGTACTAATTGCCGTTTATCAATAGCGCAACACAATGCTATATGATGTAAATGAGTTCTCGTGTGCGCGAAAAATATAACACGTTTGTTTTCTTTTATTCTTGAATAAAAAATTATTTGCTTGAATATTTACGTGCTATTTTACGACAACTTACTGTATTTTCCAAGAAATATCTTTAAATTAATAACAACAAGAAGAAGATTCTTCGGGCTCATGAGTCTTTAAACTAATGAATGAAATAAATTCGGTTGTAGGAGCCGTTTGCAGGATGTGCAGAGAATGTGCTTAAATATATATATATATATATGTATACACATATATACTTCGAAATACTTTTTTTCCTCCATATAGGATGCTGGATTTGCATCACATATATACGAAGGATCCGTGTATCCCCCTAACTAATTTTAAAATATATTGCGAAAACAACTCCTCAGCCAGGAGTCGAATCTGGAATCTCTGGCTTTCCGGGCCGTCGCCTTCCCTGTTAGGTTACCGAGACACTTGGAGTTTGTCTCGCAATACTCAGCACATCTGTCGAATATTAATCTGATAATAACGCCGTCTTCCACCAGCGTAAATTTTAAATTAATGATAATTAATGATAAGAAAAAGATTCTTCGGGCTCATGAGTCTTTAAATGAGTCTTTTTCTTCTTCTCGTTATTATTAATTTAAAATTTACGCTGGTGGAAGATGGCGTTATTATCAGATTAATATTCGATAGATGCGCTGAGTATTGCGAGACAAAGTGCCTCGGTAGCCTAACAGGGAAGGCGACGGCCCGGAAAGCCGGAGATTCCAAGTTCGACTCCTGGCTGAAGAGTTTTTTTCGCAATATTTTAAAATAAGTTAGGAGGATACAGGAGTCCTTTATAATATATATGTGATGCAAATCCAGCATCCTATATGGAGAAAAAAAATTATTTTGAAGTATATATGTGTATACATATATACACTGAGAAAAAAATACTATTAACTCAACTAAATGCGTTTAGTTGAGGTTTCAGTTTGTTTGTCTGAAATACTTGGTTTTTTAATTCAAGCATATAATAATAAAGATAACAAATTCGTATAAGTTGAATTAACAATAGTGGTAATGAACATATTTAATTCACTAAACCATGAATTGTTTTGTCGAACATAAGTTGTGATAATTTTAAATAAAAGATACTGTTAAAAAAGATGAAATATAGGCAATTCTCATTTACTTTAATTGAATATAATCTGAATTTCTTTGTACTAAGTATTTCATTTAATCAAACTGCTTATTTTTATAAGCAGACAAAATATTGTGTTGTCCTATTGTGTTGTACATTCAAAGTTACCTATATTTAAGCAAATTATAATTTTGTTAAAACAACTAAATTGTCTTTCGATGTAATCTAATTATTATATCTATTGAAACATGATATCTTCTTACATTAATCAATATTTTATTGACAGCCCGTGTGTGACCGCTGCATATATAGTTGAATCGAATACTATTTTGTTACTTCACCAACTTTTTTTTGTCAGTGTATATGTTTAAGCACATTCTCTGCAAAATATCTTTAACTCGAATAATCAAGAAAGAAAACTCGAATAATCGACGCAAGCGAAAATTTTTTTTTTAGAATTATTATTTTTTTTTTTTTAATTGAAATTCCGAGACAAATAAATTTCTAAGGAAACAATCAATGACGAGCGATTTGTTTTATTCAGGTGAGGAATGGTATAACAAGAAAAATATATCCGCTCTGAATTCGAGCGCCTTTCAACATCTGTTGACGGACATGCGACAGAAATGGATAATATGGAATCACAATCCGAACGAGTCTTACGTTCTTCGGGAACCGAGTGTCGAGGATCCGTCGATGGGACAGTCGACTGCGATACGCGAAATTCTCAACGACAAGGTACTGGGAAGCATCGCATTTTCCGCACGAAGAGCGCGAGACAGCCGAATCATGTGTGTTTCGCGAGAAAAACGAACGATTGATAGCGAGCGCTATATACACTTCGATCTCCTTTTTTTGGCGCATTAATAAATGCCGAATTTCGTTTTTTTTTTATTGCTCTCTACAGAAAAATGGATTTTTCATAGAGTGCGGCGCATACGACGGAGAGACGCGCAGCAACACGCTGTTTCTGGAGCGATTTAATGGCTGGACGGGTCTCCTGATAGAAGCGGATCCCATCAATTTCACTAAGATGCTCCGGAAGAATAGAAGAGCCTATCTCTCGCCGACGTGTCTCGGTGTAATTGAAAAGCCCGTTGTGGTGAGGAATTACAAAAGAGAGTTTTGACGAGATCGAGATACAATTTGTCGAGTCGTTAACGATGACGCGACTTTGTAGTGCGTACAATGCAATTGTCGGTTCTGGCAAAATTCGAGTTTCGATTTCCGACTCGATGCGCAGTTAGATTTTGTGCGCATATATGTATATATATATATATAGCGGTATTACACAATAATTACGCGAACGCCTCGATGTGTAGCGAAGTACGGGATAAGTAACGAGGTTCGTCGAAATTGCAGGCGTCCTTTCTCATGGCGAGGAACGTGGGGCGATTACACGAGCCCGAAAATACGACCGTCACGAATTCGCCTGACGTAGCTTACACGGGCGAGCACACTCGCGTGCAGTGTTTTCCATTGGCGCTTTACATCGCCGCGTTGGGAATCAAGACGGTCGATTATTTCAGCCTCGACGTCGAGGGCAGCGAGATCGACATACTGGAAACGATTCCGTTCCAAGCGGTAGATATAAAGGTACATATACATACGTATGGGAGGTACACTTGTATTATATATCTGTGTTGACACGCTCCGTTCCGTTTTTGGAATTTCCATCCTCGCGATTGACGATCGAAATTACTCGCCGCATTGCTCGCGTCTCTTTCATTTCCGGAATGTTAACGATTTCCGCGATTGCCTTAATCACAAAATTTATCACGCATTTTAGACCATGTCTGTGGAGTACATACACAACGCGAAAGGGCAAAAGTATCTGATCAAAATGATGGAACAACGCGGATACTACGTGTATAGTTTTGTGAAACGTCCGGACAATTTGGCGAACGATATTGTTTTTGTGAAACGCGCGACGCGTGACGAAAGTGCGAGTTTTGTCAAATAAATGAATTATGTATTTTTTGGAAAATTCGCACACGCAGTGTTATTGTATTCCGCGCTTGGATGTTGTCCGTTTTCTGACACAAGTTCGTCAGGATAGCTCTGATTGTGATTGTTATATATTAAATTATTAATTACATACATGTATTTTATTTATGTTACATTTTACTTATATATTTTATTTATAGAATGTATATTTTATTTATTAAGTATATACACACAATATTTTAATAAATTATTGTAATTTTGTTAATAAAACCAACATTTTATTGTACAAAGAAAGATTATCACGAAACGTAGATTGATAAAAATAAAATACACTTTTGTCTACGTTTCTACAGGAAACGCTACAACAAATTGTATATTATAACACAATCATAACGTGTATTTACACATTTTTGTATATAATGAACGTGGTATATACACGCGATCTTATGTTTTATTAACCGATACATAAATAGAGAAGCAAGTAAAAACAGTGTTTTAACAGGAACTTTTGATCGTGTTTATGGCACACATTGCATACGTAATCTTATTGAAAAACTTCGTGGAACGTTTTCAATCAAATCTATCGTATAACAATTAACGGTTAAAATATAAGTAACAATGTAGTTAAATTATTGAGATAATTTACACGTTGCGTTTCTGTAAAAAAAAAAAAAAAAAAGAAACAATTACTTATGTAAAACAGAATAGCAGTAAAACACAGCAGCTTTTCTAGCTGGTTGAGTGTTAAATTATCAGCAGTCTAACCAAATGAGAAAACACCAGGTCACGTACACATAGATATATATATACATCTCTGAGATAGTCTTATGTATTTTACAATTAGTAGAAAGAAAGATATATATAGTAGATATATTAAAGATGAGAAAATTCTTAAAACAATTTAAATGAGCATGTTGTAGAACAACTGCGGAGAAGCTTCTTTTAATTCTCGGACTCTACTCTACGCACAACATTTGCGGTACATTTAAATTTGCAATGCATTTAAATCTACATTTTAAATCTACGTTCTTGTTAGGAAGTAAGTAGCTTCTTCTCAGAAGTATCAGGATTGTAGAAAAAATACATACCTACCATAATACATACCGTACTTCTCACTAACAACACGATGCGTTATATATCCGTTAAAACTTAATTAAAACTTATGTACAAAATGTGCGAGTTTACTTTTTCTGTTTTCCGTTTTTTTTTTTTTTTTATAACAATATCTTGTGCTTCGGTCTCGCGTCGATCTTTCATTGCTAATTCCGTCGATACGATAATCCGTGAGAATAGCGTATTTCTGAATCCTATAAAATACAATAATACAATCTCAATAACAGGAAATGTTAAATAATGTAAAAAAAAAAAAAAAAAAAAAACCAGTAAAAATACAGCGAGAAGTTAATTAACATTGAACTCGCTGTGTGTATAAACCTGCACTTTTAAAAATTTTGTATTTCACGTTTTTTTTTTGTTTTCATCTAAAAAAGCATTACATTCGCTTAATTAAATCTACGTCGAATTTGCCACATTTGTTGACGCGTTTTTTTTTTGTAGCAAAACAAAAGACACGTACGCAAACACTTCATTTTTTCTACGAATTTGCGCGAATTGCCGAAGAAAATTTTGTTTCTACTTAATTATTGTGTCACAGCATTTGCGTGTATAAATGCGTTATTTACAATGCGCGCGTTTGTATCACATACAAAATCGAGGAACCAAAAGTTATCTCGTCACAATGAACGAACGTTTACTACAATTATTCTTGTACCGCGTGAATTTTTCTGTCTATGTCGCTATAACAAGCACGTATACTAGCACACATTTTTAGTATAAACATTTAGTTACTAACAATTAAATCTTATTATCTCTGTCGCTACAAAAAAAAAAACAAACGTTCTACAATTCAGTTACTTTACGAAATTCAATCGTGTACGCGTGTACAGATGCCGTGTGTTGTCACAATGCGATAAAAAATCAAGACAGAGTTTCCCGGCTGTGTATTGAGAGAGAACAGCTCGAGAGCCCGCTTAAACGTAGCTCTCCTGCTTTTTGCTAACGATACTTCCGGCTACGACAGCCGTAAATAAAGGCAACTTGATCTGATTTTCCGCGTGCTCATTGCTCGGTACCTTCACGCCGCAGCTCTTGCTGTTGCTGCTGTGTCTGCGCCAGAAATCCGAGTGACTGCTGCTGCAATTGGTCGAACCGGTCGTGTAAGTCGGGGTGCGTCCCGACGTTTTCTTCTTCTTCCGTTTCGTTCGTTTCAGACAGCACAGTTTAAGAAAATTTTCTCGAAATTTCGAGGACATCGCGTTGTAAACGATCGGATTGATTGCCGAGTTCACGTAAATCATTACGCGGCAAAAGTACAGCAAACTGTAATAGCTTTCAATACCGAGCGAAACGACCATCTTTGGCGGCACGATGATGATCCAGAGAGTGAAGGCTCGGAAAGGTAACAGGCACAGAAAGAAACAAAGAACCACCGTGCCCAGCATCATGACCACTTGTTTCCGATATTTGAGCAGATTGTTCGCCGGTCCCCGACTTATCGTCGGATTTGCCATCAGATGCTTCGCGATCACGGTGTAAAGAAATATCAAAATGAAGAGCGGCAAAACGAAGAATCCCACGATCGTCGTTACGAGAAAACACGTCATCCAGGTCGTCGATGCGGGCGTACTGCAGATTGGGGTGAACGTTCCGTCTGCTTTCCTCTCAATTTCGTACGTTACCATGAGCAGAATCGGACTATAAAATACACATTAAAAAAGAAATAAACTTCTCCTCTCTCTTCTCTTCCGTTCTTTTAATTATTATAATATACTATATACATTTATATGATACTGTTACACGTTTGTTGTGCGTTTAGCGTAGCTCTGAGCGGTTTATCGTAATAACGTAAATGCTCTACTTGATACATGCAGCATTAAATCACGTTTAAAAACATGTAATGTGTTTTCTGATAAAATAAACCCCCCATCTTCTCTCCCGTCATCTTGGTAATTAATACCATATTCATACGTTTGCTTACTATAATACCAAATATGTTTGTTGTGCGTGTAGGCGAGCGCTTTGAGCAAAACTCATCGTAAATAACGTAAATGTTGCTTGATACATGCAGCGTTCAAATCTAAAACGCGTAATGTATTCTGATTATCTGAAATACACGACGAAAATCTCTTTTACACACAGACACACCCATGTATGAAGCACGCGTGGACTTAAAATAAATACGAACAATTTAAAAAAAAAAAAAGAACAAAATTGTATAAACAGATAAAATTATTTCACACAGGTTTATTCGCGAAGGTTTTCATATATTTTTCGGATGAAAAATTTATATAAATATTTGCGCGTGGATATATATTCAATACGTCAGATAGAGAGTAGCGCGTTCGCTTAACCCGCAATACACTGATTTTGAGATCATTTAAATGCTGAAAGTTTCCAAACGCATTCGTCCGCGAATCATCTTTCTTCTGTCACCGCTTAAAAACTCGCTCGCGACGTAACTCTCGCGAAAGACCGGATTTAATATCTTATAGACTGTCAATATAGCAAGTAAGTTTCAATCCAACACGGAAAAGTCCTGTCTTTCCCGAGTTATCTGGCCTTAATTCTCTCCCCGTTTAATTTTATTACATTAATAAGAGAATGAGATAAGAGAAAGATATGATTTTTTTTTTTTTTTTTTTTTTAATTCCTTTCCATCGAAATTTTCTACGAAACAAACAGTACATATCTCGGACTTTTACCCCATCTACTATATACTAACAACATAAAATATTGATATACTTATTAACGCGTTGCATTTAATAATTTTCACATCACTAAAAATAAACTGACTATTATATATTATATTTATTCTGCGATTTTTAATTGATTAATTTTTTAAATTTTATTAATTGGATTTTATGTTTATGATTTAATTGTAGAAATGCATTTGATAAGGACCTAATACAAGGTCGAAAGCGTTTGTGCTACTAAGTTTTAATAAACATATTTAAATATTCACACATCAATAACAGTGTTTCGCTTCGATAGCCAGAATACATTTGTCTACTAAAAATAAAAATTACATATTCCACTGAATACGCACTTCTGTCCGCGAACGACATATCGTCGGTCTTCCATTCGTCGTGTAGTTACGTACGTGAAGATTGCGTGCGCGAATTGTGTTGCGTTAAGCTATAAATTATTGTTATTTATACGTTCATTTATAAGCTTGCGAGAGAGTCAAAATGAAACACATATATGAAACAATATTGTTGTTCGAATCACAGTTACTGCCATAATCCGCGTGTCGGACGATAGTTGTCGTCATAAAAAGTTCTCCTCCTGATATCGATCCTCCTCCTGATTCGTCGCGTTTCTTCTCGCGCCGACAATCGTGTCTCTACGCGCGTTTTCCTCGCGTCTGAAATCGCACAGTTTGAGAAAAGCCCGTCTAAACTTGCTGCTCATCAGATTGTACAATATCGGATTGCTCGCGCTGTTCAAATAGAACATGATCCTGCAAAAGTTGAGCAAGCCGAAGAACGTGTCGTAATTGATCGCGGCTATTTGCTCGGCGGGCGCGATCACGATGTAAAAGATGAGCAATCGGTACGGCGACAGACACACGAAGAAACTGATCACCACTGTAAGCAGCATCATCACCACCTGCCTCCTGGCGCGGGTGTAATACGAGTCGCTGGTGTTGTTGGACATCGAGTCGCGAATCAGATGGCTCACGATAAACGAGTACAGCACCACGAGGATGACGAACGGCGCGACAAAGAAGAGCAACACCAGCAGGAGAAAAAACGTTACGCTGGCAACAGTGTCGGCCTGAGTGAGGCACATCGGCACGTCGCGATTCATCTGATTCGCCGTAACTTGCTGATCACCGGCGCCGGTGTCCGAAATAATATCCTGTGCGACGCCGTGATTCGTCATCCTCATTTCGCGATACTGCGATACCCAGATCATCGGGCTGCAATCAGTCGAAAAACAAACAAAAAACAAACGAGGTAACGTTTTGGTTTATTTCGTATTTTGTTGTTTTCGTTTTTTTTTTTTTTTTTTTTTTGAAGAAACCGCAATTTCGACGAAGAAACAGAAAGAGAAAAAGAAAAAGAAGGAAAAAAAGGCAGACGAAGCGAGACGAGGTTTGAACGTAAAAATGTTTGCTGATTACTGCGAGTCAATAATTCGGAAACACAGCTCGGCAAAAGTGATCGATCGTATAACCCAGCAAACACAAAGTAACACAGTTACGTAACATTAATGTTATAATTTCCCACTCAACAATGTAACTGCTACGTACAAGGCACGTTACATTGCAATTACATCGTTGAGTGGGAAATTTATAACATTAATGTTACGTTACCGTTACTTTGTGTTTGCTGGGTAAGACAGATCGAAAACTCGCAGACTAATGAGACCAAGACAAATTGCAGTTTGCACGTTGATCCGTCATATACTAATCGCAATAGACGCGCTCAATAGCTTCCCCGGGTTCGTACGCTTAATCTTAACTCGGTGGAGATACACGCGAGCGGTAAAACTTTTATATAAATTATCGTTAGCCTTGTGGTGCGTTGATTAGATATTTAATTGTATGTAAATATTGTATGTTATCATGTTCGCGCTACAAAATATACAGAGTGTTTCGTTTTATCTGATCAGATAGATGTTTTATTTAGTGTTGTACGGTTTGTACAAAGAAAGAAACACAAATGTTTTACCGTTTTAACGCATGTTTTTGTTTGTGTGAAACAAAACAAAATAAACAATTATGACTTAAAGCTCGTTGAAATTAATAACAAGAAATATATAAGGCCTTACGAGCCATTCGCAGGAAAGCCGGAGATTCCAGGTTCGACTCCTGGCCGAGGAGTTTTTTTCGCGATATTTTAAAATTCGTTAGGGTGGTATCCGGGGTCTCTCATATGTGAGATGCAAATCCAGCATCCCGTGTGAATTTAAGAATTGAGATTTCAATTAAAAAAAAACACTCACTTGTAAAAATTTACAAGTTGAATTTGTTACATGTGTATATATATATACAGGGTGTCCCAGAATTGCCGTACAATCTCTCGTAGGCAGGTAGGAGTAAAACTGAGTCGAAAAGTCCTGAACCATTTTTTTTCTATTATTTATAATAAAAGAGTAATTATTGAGTAAATCAGGCCAATCAGCGCCGACCTTTAGCCAGGCGCACGTCAGTGAGCCGCGCGCCTGGTGTGTGTGAGCGCTCACTGACGTGTGCTTGGTTAAAGGTCTGCGCTGATTGGTTTGATTTACTCAATAATTACTCTTTTATTATAAATAATAAAAAAAATGGTTCAGGACTTTTCGACTCAGTTTTACTCCTTCTACCTGCCTACGAGAGATTGTACGGCAATTCTGGGACACCCTGTATATACACGCACAGTTTCCGCTCAAACATCCTGCGAATGGCTCGTAAGGCCTTATATATTTCTTATTATTAAAACAAAATAAGTTTAATCCATTCGTTCAATAGTTCAATCTATTCGTGTCTCTCATAGATTAAATATAAATTTATAAACATATATATAAAATATTAATTATGTTTCAGATTGAAACTAACCGGAAAAAAAAAAAACATGAAATACGCGAAATATTTTTTTTGTAAAATTGTGAAACGGTGTGGAAAAGATTATCGCTCTTCATTGTTTTACATTTTACAAAAAAACAAGCGCAAGGAGCATGGAGAGCGCGTGTCCGCGCAATCACTTTTCCGCGCTGTGAAATAGAATATCCTATTTTTTGCCTCGTTCCCGGCACTTTACACAGACCGCTACACAGGTCGAACTCAATTTTCGCGCCCCCGAACGAGCGTAAGGTGATATCGAATTTCCCCGAGTGCTTGGGTGAAATGTGATTTCGTTAATTGCGCGCCGCTATTTATTTTGACGCGTCGTTGTCTGCTTGCGCACAAAAAAAAAAAGAACAACGGTCTTTTTAACCCTTTTTTTTTTTGGAGTAGAAAAAGCGAGAGTGTTAACGCGCAAATATGGAGTGTCGGATTCTTTTGCGGCAAAAATTCAATATCTAAATACGGAATAGAAGAGGTACGAGATAATCAATCGCGTCTCGAGACGGTGACTTATTACGAGCCGAGAATGCAACAGGAAATCTACGAGGAGAAACTTTGAAACAGTCACACGTCATTCTGTCGGAACGTCGTCGACGCGCTGCATTCGCTCGCGTAAGATCGAGAGGCTCGTTTTCAAACGATCCATCACTGAATTGCGTTTGTTGTTCGCAATCAATGACGCGTTAATTTCACTCTACGATCTTTTCGCAGAATCGCGCTAGTGGAGATACGTTCATACTCGCAATGTGAAACTTAACTGAATCTTTTCGAATTGAGTTATCTTACTCACAAAAATTGTATTTCGCGAATCTGACACGCGGAAAATTTAACCGCACAAGTATTAATTGCACAAGTTACGAATATACTGTATACTGCATATTAATTGCACAAGTTACGAACATACATGAGACCGAACATTTCGCGCGAGAATATCCGCGGCGTTTCTGTCTTACATGTGACGCGCAAATTTTATGCGCAACCATTCTTTTCGCGAACAAGTCATTTTATTGTGCAATACGCGCATTTTACGCAAATTTGCAATTCCGTCACTTCAAACGAGACAGTAGGTACATGCAATACTTATGCAAATCTGATTTTCAGTTTATTCACGAAAATGCGGACCGCAAGCGTAACCGCGAGCGAG